TTCATAGTTGTTACAAAGATAAAGAATGGAGAGATTTGGTGCACAACAAAATACAAAAATATATCTTAGCTATGTGTGTATGTGTGTATATATATACACATATAGCTAATATATAGCTAATAAAATTACCTGAGGAGTGTAATGTTTGTTTATTTTTTGTGTGTATATCTTTGCAATCTATTTTATATATATTGACAAAAGAGACTGTGAAATATTTAGCCATGCAGAATATGTGACTAGACCAGAGCATGTGTAGGAAGACATTTTGGTAATCATTAACTCTACTCAGAATGATGGACTACAAGTAATGATGTGTGTTATCTACACCTCAATCAGTAATAATAGCAAATCTCCAAATGTTAGCCACATTGGTTTGTTTTCCTTGTACATTTATTCATGATACTACAGTGCTGTAACTGGGTGGTCCTTTTTAAACAAGACATTTGCAAAACAGAGGGTATTATTTGTTTTTAAAGCTTTTGTAAATAAAGGCTTCAGAAATGTTTTCTTATATATGTTGGTGAATGGTCTTTTTGTTTTGAAAATATTTATTTGGGGGATTACTTTTTTAAATTTGGGCAACTGAACAGAACTCAGTAACGTCATTAACTGTAGCTAATTATTGAAAAACCAATCTGGGCCTTCTGCATTTCAACAGTGGTGGCAACTTTTATAAGAGGAACATTATGACTTTTACTAAATGTAGCTTTGCATAAAAGATACTTAGCTGATAACGTTTTTAGGGTTCCTGAGCCATTAATTCTGGGCTTACTATCTTGTTAAATCTACTAGATGAAGGGTTAGCAAAATATGGCCTGCAGGCCCAAACCAGCCTGCTGCCTGTTTTTGTAGGCCAGTGAGATGAGAATGGTTTTTACAATTTTAAAATGGTTGGGAAGAAACTATTTCCTGATGTGAAAATTATATGAAAATTAAATTTTAGTGCCCATAAATAAAGTTTTGTTGGGATGCAGCCACAATCCTTTATGCACTACAGTGGGGAAGTTGAGTACAGAAAGCCCATACCATTCTTTTCACTTCACATTTCTGCTTGGTATGCTACAAAATCGTTTGGAGTGTACCACAATATTTTAAGGCACCTTAATGGATTATCTTACTAAATGATATGATAAAATACTGTTTATCATGCAACTATAACTATGCTAAGAAATACAACATGTTGCCATAAGCAGGCTAAAGCTCATCATAATATTCCCAATTCATGGGAAAGCAACAGTTAGGAGAATTGGAAACTTTAAAATATAACTCATCACAGCATAATTTCTGCAACCAAAGTCCGTTTACAAGTGGCTCAGGTGTAAGCCAAGCCAAGCCGTTTACTGATGGTGAGTTGTATCACATTCTCTGAATGCAGTAGCCCAAAGGAATGTGGAAATAAAATTAGCCTTTTGTTGAGAATAGCTGCTTGAAGAGTGAGGACATTGCATATAAAATAACAATTAGCCCAGCCTGTGTGGTTCAGAAGTTGAGCACCAACCTAAGAACCTAGAGGTCATGGTTCGATTCCTGATCAGGACACATGCCTGGGTTGTGGGCTTGACTCCCCAGTAGGGGGCATGCAGGAGGCAGCAGATCAATGATTCTCCCTCTCCACTGCTCTCAAATCAATAAAATAATTATAAAACAAGACAAATGATTTTGAGTGTTCTTTGGCTGTTAAAGAGTCAGTACTGCCCAGCTGTTGGGAAACCAATGCAGAGTTTGAAGTGGCTAAAGAATTAGTTTCTACTAATAGTATCTGTGAAACAACTACAGGTGTGAATATGTTCAAAGAAGTTGAGAAGCTAGTAAGTCAGTACAGCCTGAAGTGGAATCTAAGATGTGATGTAACTGATGGTGCTGAAAATATGCATGAACCAGGACAAAGTTCAGTTGGTCACAATTAAAAACTTGTGAAAAGGAACTAAGCTGTTTTCATTTGGCAGGAGCCCATTCCACTTGTGTCTTATGCCTTAGTTTTATTTTCTTCTAGACAAGAATTAGCATTGTTCATTATTAGCTGGTGTCTTTTATTACTGCAAAGATCATGTAGAAAGTAAATAGTCAAGCTTTAGCTACATGGGTGTATACAGACATCCCTTCATCGGTTCTTTATAACTGTTCTAGACTCAGCCACATCTACTTCCTGCCTAAATGTGGTTTTAAAGAACTTTAAAATATATTCCATGTTACACTAAGAATAGTTAATGTAATTAAGGTGGCTTTTTAAAAAAAATCCTCACCCAAAGATACGTTTATTAATTTGAGAGAGAAACATCAATGTGAGAGAAAAACATAGATCAGTTGCCTCTCAAATACCCCCAACCAGGGACTGAAACCACAACCTGGGAAAATGCCCTGACCGGGAATTGAACCCACGACCTTTCAGTGTACAAGACAACACTCCAACCAACTGAGCTACACCAGCCAGGGCAAGGTTCCCTGTTTAAATATTCAATGTTCATTAAATGTTTAACTCATTTAAGATACTTTTAATACTAGGCGTTAGAGGGCTCTACATAATGATAGAAAGGGATGTGAAGCCTAAACTTTGACAACAGCCTTACTTTCATAGCCCAATGAAAACCCGAACTGAAGCTCTCTATGGGATCAGCAATTCAGCATCAACAGAATTCTACTTTAGCGCATTGTTTTTTCTCATTTTAATTCAGCACCTTTATCTGTCAGACAGCTATTAAGTATTAATGAATTTCCTTGAGCTCCTTACACTGATAAACCTTCCCTGCAAGATGCAACCTAAACCATAAAATAGTCCTGTTCTTCATGAGCAATGAGCTCCTTTATGTTGTTGCGTAAACCAGAGTTTAACGTCACTTGTCAGAGGCCATCTTTGGTTTGAGGAGTACTCAGAAATAATTCAGTTCAGCAGATGAATAATCTTAGCCATCTCTCCCCACTCCCCAACTGTAAACTAACAATACAGAACTACTTACTGAATACTGGCTATGAATAAGAACAAAGATCTATCACTGGGCATTGTCACCAGTTATTTTGTTTTGTTTTTGCTGTCACTTTCCTGCAGTGAGAAAGGGCTGCAAGTGGCATCAAGTCTATTGGTATTGCCCAGATTATATTTTCGTTGGTATAACAATTAAAGGGTGTCAGAGATTGGGCTCTTAGTTGGCTTAGACCAGCGGTTCTCAACCTGTGGGTGGCGACCCCTTTGGGGGTCGAACGACCCTTTCACAGGGGTCGCCTAAGACCATCGGAAAACACATATATAACTACATAGTGTTTTGTGATTAATCACTATGCTTTAATTATGTTCAATTTGTAACAATGAAATTGGGGGTCACCACAACATGAGGAACTGTATTAAAGGGCCGCGGCATTAGGAAGGTTGAGAACCATTGGCTCAGATTCTAGCATTATGGTAGAGCATCCTCTTTATTTACATCCTCTTGTTTGAGGATTAAAAAAACATCTATATCAGAGCCTCTTCATGTTCATAATTTTGATCCACAAATTTCGTTTGAAACAAGCCTGTTGGAATTCATCCCGTGATGCCCACTGGCTACATTTCTATACAATAACAAACCCATCCTGGCAGAGGGAAGGGAAGTGCACAGTTTGGACCATTATAAAGTATAACACAACTTCCTGTGTCCTGTAACCAAATAAGATCCTTGAGTAAAAAAAATTAATTCTAATGGAATCCTAGTGGGACCAGATTGCTTAGTTTTAAAATAAAAAAAAAATTGTTAGCATGTGCGTAATGCTTTTAATAAGTAACATGATCAAATTGCTAAAATGTTGATGAAAGTTAGAATCTGAATTTTTACGACAACGTTTAAAATAATTCTAGTGGTATGTTTGTAAAAGAGTAACAAGCAGTTAGTGTATGTGGTCTGCTTCCATACGGAAGAGGAAATACGTTCTAAATTGTCCAAGGGGGTGGGAAAGCAGTGTAGGTGTTTTCTGCAGGAGGATCTTACCTGGAGACATGTTCTTTGTGCAAATCCATTGTCCAAATGTGTTACTGTGGACAAAAACGTTAGCAGATTAAAATCTGTTGTCCAGGGGTAGCTGGTATGGTCACACTCAATACCTTCTTTATGGTTTTCCAGGCAAGTGGATTTGCTACATTGACCATTTATGTGGTTCATGTATTGGGTTTAAAAAATCATAACGGTATTAGAACTTTCACTTTTATATGTAAATATTTGATAATAAGATGTGTATATTAAAGACAGCCTATAACTTCAGAATCAGCTCAGCAAGTTTACATGTATTTCAAAATTTGCTAGCTTATAATATAATGGAGTAACAGTTTTTCATGGGTTCTTTTGAGCATGAATCACATGATTACTAGCTTAAATTTTTATGAACATGGTTTATAAATCCTTTGATTTTCTTAGTGACGATAGTTTTGCCAAACATGCTGTATTTCCAATACTTGTCTGTTGATGACAGTGTACTTGAGTTTTACAGTCTGTTCCAACTGTCCTTGGAATCATTTAACTACTACTGAGTAATTATCTCATCTTGTCACCCATTTCTCCTCAGAAAACCTGTTACGACCAGGTTATAGACATGAATTTTGCCTGCAGTAAGTAGCTAACTCTGGTACACTATTGGAAACCGTGTATCTACCTGTGAAGCAGTTCAGAGGGTCGTGCAGAGCAACTTCATACAGACAGCTAGTGAAGGCGATCAACCAGACTTTATTACGGCGTAACAGCAGGGAATTCGTGGGTAAGCGCTGCCTTGAATGTCTCACCATTGTATTTAGATGCAATTTTCCTTTAACTTATCTTTGAAAAACCAAACCCCCTTTCACTGAACAATGGCAAATAGTTAACGAATAGGTACATTTTATAAGTATGCTTTATTCACTCAGGTAAAATTTATACTGCATATCTAATAAGATATGCCATCTTTAAAAATTATAACCCCCTAGAACTGTAAACCCCACCCTCACTAAACAAAAAAAAAAAACCATTAAAGATTATTTACTGTATGAAACAAAAAGGGAACCATTGAAACTTAATGAAAATTTTTTATTTTTAAAAATGTTTTCAAATCCGAATCTAATGTGTATTGGCTTTATGTATTTCAATAATTACATGAATGACCTAAATGGGGAAATGATGAACAGTACTCTAGCAAGGTAAAGAATAGAAATCTCCCTTTCTCCCCACCTAGCTTCTAGTTTGACAATAGGGAACATCTAACAATCTTATTCCAATAAAAACAGCAATAGTACTGTGCTTTGAAAAATATCTGGTTGCATATCATTCTTAATATGTCACATAATGCTGTTGCCCTTAAGACTTCAAACAGTAGCTATAGGTTCCAACCTGGCACTTCAGGTAATGAAAAATGATGACCAAAAAATGCTTTAAGTTCAAAGTAAAAATATATCTTATGAAATTTCTCGAAGCAGATTGTCAGATTAAAATATTTAGCTTTAAAAAATCTGGGGGAAAAAAACTGCCATCCTATTGTTCAAATAATTGCACTCAAATGACCTAGAAAATGGACTGGACCGATTCTTCCATTAACTCATTTTAAACTCTTTGTATTTTTAGCAAGGATGAGTAATTACAAGGATCTATTATTACTCCATTATCCTCTGGCCTTCTAACCTATTTTGTCTAACTGAGAATTTGAAAAGTTTAATACCATTTTCCCTTTGATTAAATACCAGTTCCTTAGCTGTGTAGTTTTTAAAAGGTAATCTGCTTTAAATTCTGAAAATCGGTACCAAAAAAATGTACACAGCTTATTCTAATCACTAACATTTATAAAACTTACACTCCAACAAATTAAAAAAGAGTAAATAAAACTTTTTTTTTTAAATAGTGCATACAAGGCACAAGAGCTTCTTAGTATATTTACTGAAGCCTAAGATTTTGGCATCAACCAACACACCACTTCAGTTTATCTGAAACTCAATTTCCAAACAGCACACCATTTACTTATGTTTAACTAAATTTCCAAAAGTGTATAATTTTTGATTTGCATCATTTAATCTTAATAGATGACGAACTATATATTTAAACTATCATACCTTTGATGAGAGAACACAGAAATAATATCAATATAAATGGAGGATTAATTGATTGACCCATCAGGAATTCTTAACAGAAATTAGATATTTTTGCTATGTTCAATAAAAATAAAATAAAATAACTTTAAAAAAATGTTAAGCCCTGGCCAGTGTGGCTCAGTTGGTTGAGTGTTGTCCCATGCACCAAAAGGTTGCTGGTTCCATTCCAGGTCAGGGCACATGCCTGGGTTGCGGGCTTGATTCCCAGTAGGGGGCGTGCAGGAGGCAGCCAATGGATGTTTCTTGCATCAGTGTTTCTCTCCCTCTTCCTCTCTCTCTAAAATCAATAAAAACATTTAAAAAAATTTTTAAGCCAAACTGGCTAAGGAGTATCATAAAAAATAAACCGATTTTCATAATTGTTATAGATTTCCCCCAATTTAAGAAGATAAGAAGAGATGAAAAATATATTTCAGATGTAATAGAAATGTATTCTTTCTGACAAAACTTTTCTAGTGAGTTGCTTATCAGTGAGCTCGAGCATCAATGATCATACTTATTTTCTAGCAGGGAACAAAAGCTAGAATTAGATTAAAGTCTAGCAAAAATGGATGGTGATCTTCAACTATAGGTCATTTGGAACTTGTAATAAATTCACTCCATCTGAAGCTGAATTGACATCAGAAGGAATAAACAAAGAAGTCTGTTTGGCTACCTCCATGTTTTCATAGGTAACAGGTTTTACGAATAAACTTATTATAATGTGACTGGAAATCTTTTCAACCTCAGTTTCTTCATCTTAATTTTCTGGATGAAAATTGGGATAAATTGTGCTACCGAATTATTTGGGTGAAAACTGGCCCATGAATTTACTCAAAGTTTTTATGATAGAAGGTATTTTTGCCCTTGATCCATAAGACACAATTATTTTTAATATTTCACAGAAATTTGTGTTAGTTGAGACAATCTGTATCCTGATTTTAAAAAGGTGATGTTTTAAGCAACAGCTCGGAGAGAAGTAATCAATTCATATTCTGCGTATCCAGCCAAAGGGAAATGGGACAACTGGTCAACGGTGCCTTCCTGTGGGAAGCCTCTTCCTCCATCTACAGCACTGATACCTAGAAATGAAACAGAAACCATGAAACTATTGTGTTAACTATTTTAAAAACAACAACTCATCCATTCAAACAAACTCATTGTTGCAATAACATCCCTTGTTCAAAACTGTTTTCTATACTAGAAGACTCAGTAGATGTGTTCTTGAATATAGCCCTCGACATCAATGCCTTCAAACTATATTGTGCATATACAAGACCAGAGGACCTTGTTAGAATGCAGAAGATGCAGATTCTGGTTCAGTAGGACTAGACGCAGTGATGGCGAACCTATGACACGCGTGTCAGAGGTGACACGCGAACTCATTTTTTTGGTTGATTTTTCTTTGTTAAATGGCATTTAAATATATAAAATAAATATCAAAAATATAAGTCTTTGTTTTACTATGGTTGCAAATATAAAAAAATTTCTATATGTGACACGGCACCAGAGTTAAATTAGGGTTTTTCAAAATGCTGACACGCCAAGCTCAAAAGGTTCGCCATCACTGGACTAGAGTGAGGTCCAGCATCCTGCATTTCTATTAAGCTCTCAGGTGAGGGCAATGATACTGGTTTGGGACCCCAATTTGAGAGGCAGGGTTCTTCTGCATTTGTCTGAGGGCCACTACACATTTAGTAGTGACAGATGAGTTAGAAGAGGGACTTAAGGAAATATGTCTGAAATTTCATGTGCATAGAAACACAGCAATTTTTGTTTATAATTTATAAGAGGGAAGGTTGGATAGCCTAAATTGAGTCTCTACTTTAGCACTACTATAGGTCTAGGTACATTATAATTATCTGGGACATATGCTGACTAAGAAATAATATATAAAAGGCCACAGGTTATTTACTAATGTAGTTCAAAAAGAGAACAGAATATGAAGATAACATTTAGTAAGGTAGTTAAATTAAGCATATATTCAATATAAATCTGCACTGAATGAATTTCAAGTCAAAGATGTAAAGCAGAAAAGCTATTTTAAAAACTATACCTTAGGAAAATGCAATTTTTAAAAAAAGAAACATTTTACTGTCTCTGGTTATATCAATAGAATGAAAAGTATAACATCAGAAAGTCACTTTTTAATGTCAATGCAGCTGACTTGTGCCGTCCTATGGTTATTAAGACCATATGTCTTATATTCAAATGTAATAAAATCAAGTTTTTGTGAGATTGTTAATTTTAACAACGTCATTTTACCATGTATTTACAAAATCCTTATTTAGAACCTACTACGTGTCTGGTACTTGGCAAAGTGTGGAGGATAATGATGAACAAATGCAACAGCGGTCTTGTGTCAATACACTGGGGCATCTACATGACACGATATTACGATGTAAACTTGTAAAATATTTAACACATGACCTCCCAAACAATGGTGATTATTACTAATAATTCAAAATACTAAGGAAATTCCTATAAAACTTTGCATGCTTTACAGACCTATGTTCTGTAAAACATTTATTTGTGGTATTGGTTGGTGATTCATATTTGTTTATTCATAGTTACATTTTAAGAATCATTTCCAGAAATTTAATAGTGTGTCTTTGCCATTTAACCTTATAAGAAGATTACATTTTCACTCCCCTAGCCATAGTTGTGATGAACCTGATCCACTTTACCATAATGTATAGTCATCCAAGACCAAAACAGTCAATGGGAAAATGGCCAGATCCGTGTTTTGCTGTTACTTAGAGAGCTACTCATTAAAACCAAACAAAACAAATTTTAAAAGATTTAAAAAAACAGATTTTGAGGGTTAAAATGGGTTAAAAAAACACACTCAGATAGCCATGAAATACTTTGACACGAACGACTTTGTTTGAGATGCAACTGTCTCACTTCTCATAGACTTTGGGATTCTAGATTGAAGTTTTATAAATAGAGAGTTGTTTTGATAACCTTGATGTATTTGTAGTTGTTATAATGGTAGATATAGCTGTTTGTTTTGTCTACATGTTTATGGCTTTGCTCCAAAGGGGCGGGCGCTTTATCGTATCTTTCTATTGACTGCAGGCTTATAAGTAGGTTATGTATTAAAGAAACCAATTTTGAAGTACAGGTTTTTAAAAATTATGGTATAATGGAAGTGATTTGGAATGCCTATATTTTAAGAATGACACATGCTGTGGGGTGGGTCCCACTGTGACCAAAAAGAGGGTAAAAGGTCTACACTAACAGTACGTGATTCTCTTGTACTGAGACCCAGTGAGATTCTGCTGATGAGTGATCAAGGACATGACCACTATATATCCCAAAGGACAGAAACATTTTTTTTTAAATTGTACAATCCTATGAAATGTTAAGAGAATTGACATGTAAACATCAACATTTCAGGATCAATCCTTGCCACTGAATGTATTACTATAAAAATGAATTTGTTCATCAACTTATTTTGGGTCAGCTAAGACATCTTTTAATTTGAATCACTCAAAAATAAATAATGCTTATGGAAACAATTTGCCCTATGAGAATTAGAAAAGTGTGAAAAATATAAAACATAAAGGAAAGCTTAACTTACTTTCATACAATAGGAATTCGTTTTGTTTGAAGAGTTAAGTCTCATTCTCCATGGTCAATGCAGGATTGCTCATCCCTTCAAGAAAGAACTTGAATTAGCATTTTTTTGGTTGCTTTTGAACAAATAGGCAGAGATTTGTTTATTCATCCATGAGTTTTCCTAGTACATGGTATGGGTGTTTATAAATAAGATGGTAATATAAACACACACATGAGAAACAGTGTAGGTCACAACCACTGTCACCAAAAAAAATAAAATAAAATAAAAAAATAGAGATGTATACCTAGGGAAAAGGTACATTGAACCTGGCACTTCCCACTATCATAAATCATTGTTTCCTAATTCTTCCTTGACCTACCTCATTCTAGTTAAACTAATCTTTGAGCCCTTCCTCACCTCGTCTTTCTCATGTTTCTTTTACATCATTTTTTTAACTTTAGTTTCTCATTCACCTATCAAAGTAACAGAAATATTAATCCAAGAAGCCAACTACTAACAGCATGAATCCTTCTTCATCCCCCCCCAAAAATTGACCTGCAACTATACATCACTTCTTTGCCTCTAAGGAAACTGATGAATTCAAAAGGCAAAGAGGTGTCATCAATTTTTGTCCTTCCCGTAGATCAGAAAATGGAATGGCAGGTTTGAAGGTAAAGAGAGACCAAATTATGAATACTCAGGGATCTTCTGAGGGAATATACCGGACGGGGCAAAAGTAGGTTTAAATACACAAAACACAGAATTTATAATTGTATTATTATTTTTAATTATTATATTATTTCCCATTTGAATAACTAAACCTACTTTTGCCCGACCCTTTAAAAAAAACAACTTTTGGTCAGGGCACATACAAGAATCAACCAATAAGTAAATGGGACAAAAAAAAACAAAAAACAAAAAAAACAAGACTTCTTAAAGCCAATATTTTAGGAGAATATGACTGATTATCCTATATAGCAAAAGGCTAATATGCAAATAGCCCGAACGGCGGAACAACCGAACAACTGGTCACTATGAGGAGCGCTGACCACCAAAGGGCGCGCACAGAACATGGCAGGCAGCGACAGCGGCAAGATGGTGGAGCAGAGAGGGGCACCAGACCAAGGCGGGGCGCCGGTCGCTGGCATTGGGGCGAGCCTCTGGTGGTTACTGAAAATTCTTTTCTCCCGCGTGCCGTGGTCCAGCCTAGTGCTCACACCCACTGACAGTGTCGGCCCCGCTCATACCCGCTGTTGGCACCAGCCCCAATTGCTCCGCACTGTCAGCGGGTGTGAGCGGGGCTGGCACCGTTAGTGCATGGGAGCAGCAGGAGTGGGGCTGCCAGCAGACAGGGGACTATGGCAGGAGGGGCAGGGTGGGAGTACAGAGGATGGGCCAAGACCTGCCCCTGTGCCCACTGCAGACTCGCAGCCCACAGTTCCTTTTAAGGTGCACGAATTCATGCACTGGGCCCCTAGTCTATGTAATAAAAGCCTAAGTGACCGTTAAGGCGGAACAACCAGAACGACTGGTCACTATGATGCACACTGACCACCAGGGGGCAGACACTCAATGCAGGAGCTGTCCCCTGGTGGTCAGTGTGCTCCCACAGGGGGAGTGCAGCTCAGCCAGAAGCTGGGCTCATGGCTGGCGAGCAGAACGGCAGGAGCCTCTCCCGCCTCCGCCCCGCCGCAGCACTAAGGATGTTCAACTGACGACTTAGGCCCCTCCCAAGCTGTCAGTTGGACATCCCCTGAGGGCTCCCAGACTGCGAGAGGGCACAGGCCCGGCTGAGGGACCCCCCCTAACCCCCGAGTGCATAAATTTCATGCATCAGGCCTCTAGTATATTTAATAAAGACCTTATAATTTTTAATCAAGACAATCCATTTTTTTTTCACCATTACTAAATCCCAAAGAGACATCAAGGAAACCAGTAAATAAAGTGCAGTCAGCTAAAACTAAGCAGTGCTAAGAGAGAGTTTGAAGGAAAGAACAGGAATGAAGGAGAAAGGATTGAGGAATTCAATTAGTCAACCTAGTGAGTTTTTGGCTAACATTGTCTCAATGGTGAATGAGTGGTTTCATACTCATTTATAGGGACACCATACACATTTACTCACACCTGCATGTTTGACCACATTGTTTTTGCTTAAGCCTTCCCAAACCTGGGAAATAAGTAGTGTTTTCAAGATAAGGAAGCTAAATATAAAGTTTAGGTAACTTCACAAATACCACCTACTAATTAGGTGCCCAAATTGGGATTTGAATCAAGTCTGTCTGGCTTCAAACCTTGCCATTCTTTGCCAATAAAGAAGTAATCAAAAGATTAAAATCAAAAAAAAAAAAAATCAAAAAAAAAAATCAAAAAAAAAAAAAAAAAAAAAGATTAAAATCTACAGCAATAACAAGGGAACTATGAAGAAAATACATGTAGCTAAAGTTATGGTAATTATGCAGTCACTTTGACATTTTGAAATTGGATAGAAACCTTAGGGTAAAAGAACTGCATAATTTGAAATCCTTTACAGCAGATATTTTTCAATCTTTTGTCTGAGTTGATTACATTTTTCCATTTTAAAAATTATACTTTGAATTTATTTCGATCATTTAGTATGCAGGAATAAAGACTTGGTTCTATAAGCTGGAAAAAAACACAGTGTAGATCTATCTTTCACAAAATGATTTTCTAGAGCTAATAGCCATTCAAGTACTTCCCAAATAAAAGTTCCTGAAAATAACTCTAAATTTACACTGAAAGTCAGACTGTAAGCAAGAAAAATCCTATAGGAAATATAATGGAATGTTTTTCACTACTTTAACCTTTTAAAAATAAAATATATCCGGAAAGCCGAACAGGCACACCCTTACCAGCTTTGTCTTTCCCCGGGTTTGTGCTGCTCTCTGTCCAAGACTGAGAATCAGTAAGGAGGTGGCTCTGCGACTCTCTCAATGGCTTTGCAGGAAATTGATGGTTTTCAGGACTGAAGAAGAATAATCATCATCACAATCATCACATTAACTCTCGACAATATTAAGGTGTTTCTCAGAGTGTGGAACTCAAACCACTGTGGTGCGAGATCATTATAGGAGTTACCCAAGAGAATTGGGGGAACACAGGAACAATTAAATCACCCTGGCTCGCAATGAGAAAAAGTGTTCTCTCTTTAGTTCTCTTTTCATTTTGATTACAATAAGGTGACAATCTGCAACCCTGGCAAATCTCCATTTTTAATACAAAAACTTGGCCTCAGCTTCAGACTTTAGCAGGTAAGGGAATCTAATTAGACCTAACAGTATTTCATTTCCAATTTTCCATTGTTATACTCTATTTATGACAAATTATACTAGTTTGTCATTTATGACAGTGGTATGAAGTTTGGTTTAAAAATAAATCTCAGTGCAAGTTTAAATAAACATATTAAAGAAAAATGGTATTTTTAAGTGGCATGTGGATATGGAAAAAATCTATGAAGGTGATGGTAGAAAGATAAGTTTGAGGAAAAATTGGTCTAGTGTTTCGAAAGTGGCCTGACTGGTCTTGAACAAAGAATCCTCTATCCCCTGTAAGACTGAAACAACAAACTTGAGCATCATCTTGCAGGAGGTGTTGAAAACATCTGACCTTATCAGGTCTTTCAAGCCTGGTGTTTAATTTGGGAAAATGAAAGTCTTAAAAGAAGAACTTGAGTTTTAAAATTTAAGTACACATGCCACATATTGACATATTGGATGATATGAAAAAATAAATATATAAATTAAAATAACATGAGTTAGAAAAAAAATATTGGCATAGAAACGATTATTTTAGAACACCCTGAAATACTAATTATAATACTGCTCAAAAGAAAAAACTATTTAAAATTCCTCCAAGAATAATTTCACATATTTCAGTTGTCTGTAACTATTATTTTTTAAAGGATATGCTTTTGCATCTCAGATCTAAAATTTGAGAATATTTTAATTTTGTGCAGCTTTAACCTACCCTTATTAAAAATTTGAAGGGTAGTTTTTAAAAAAAACTATGCTTCCTTTCCTATGAACGTCTCCTGTTCCTTTTACTCTAATTCTTTTGATTCCTCAGGAAAGAGGCCATCTACCAGGTATAGGAGAGTAAGTCCTGGTTTAGGGACTCCGTGGAGACTGATTGCTGGCATGGATCCATTCATTTAATGATATTCATTATCTATTACATCAATGAATAAAGTCTTTGATCTCGTGGAAATTTCACTGTAACCGAGGAAGAATAATAATAAAGGAATAAATATATAATAAGTCAGGTGACAATACGAGCTATGACAACTAGTGTCCAGGGAAGTGTCGGAGCAGGTTACTCTTTTACAAAGGCTTTTCAAGGATGGCCTCTATTGTGAAGTTACACCTGAGTAGAAAGTGAATGAAGAGAAGGCACAGACCATTCAGGATTCTGGAGGAAGAACATTTAGGAAGAGGAATGAACAAGTACAAAGGCATTAAATAAGGGACATGTCTGGTGTATGAGGAACAGCCAAGATCTGTGTGTCCAAGAATTGTTACTGAGTAACAGTAGGGCTGACATCAGAGAGGTGCTGGGAGCCAGATTAGATAGAATGAGGTAAGGACATTCACTAGTCTTTATTCTGAGTAAGATGGGAAATCAATGGAGGTTTTTGAGCAGAAGAGCGACAAAATCTGATTTATGTTTCAAAAGGATCACGCTGACTTCCTAATGAATAGACTGGAGTAGGGAAAAAATGGCATCAGGAAGGTCAGGAAGAAATGGAAACAATTCATGTGAGAAATGATACAGATGTATTTTGAGGGGGAATCTGATAGGGTTTGCAAATGGAGTAAATAAAGGAAAACTTAAGAAAGGAATCGGAATGAGTCCAGTGTTTCTGGCCAGAGTACCTGGGAGGACAGAGGTCACAAATACTGGTTCACGTATGGAAGAATGAGGAGAATCGGGCTTTGGTGGGCGTGAGGGTGTGGATAGCTGGAATCAGGAGTTCTGCTTTGCACCTGTTCAGCTGGCCATGACTTTTAGACACTGAAGTGGGATTGTTGAGTAGACAGCCAGATATAAAACTCTGGAGCACAGCGATCCCAACAATAACCATAGAAATTTTATATGGGCTAATCAGGGAGAATTATACAATTCTGTAGCTGCCAAAATCCAATCTCAACATTTAAAGGAAACAGGAGAAGCCTGACCTCTTCAAGACCACCTGGCGAGGTAACAGTGCCAGAACCGACTTCCTCTCCATACCCTGGGGACACGTGGGAGAGGTATGATCTCTAAAACCCAAAGAGTCTTAAACTACAAAAACCACTTAATAAAGATAAGAAGCATTATTGAAAACTTAAATTTTATGAAAGCTATGACAACATAACAAATAACTTATTAAAACTAGATTTTTCTGCACCAAAGTAAAGAAAACCATTAACATTTAGCTCCTGAGGAGTTTTCAAGCCAAAACTCTCAGAGCATGACCCAAAATACTCTGGTGCCTTTGAATGTCCCTGTGAAGCACATTGAAATCCCTCATTGATGGAGAGTCTGGTCTATACATAGCTCCCTCTAGGGGTGGGGTGGTGAATAGGTTTCATCTCCTGACAATCTATGATAATAAAAGCATAATATGCTAATTAGACCGGACAGCCGAATGACCTTCCGGATGTCATTCCGGACGTCCTTCTGGATGAAGCCGCGGCGGCAGGGGCCGAGGCAGAGGCAGTTAGGGGTGATGAAGCAGGCAGGCGAGCAGTTAGGGGTGATGAGGAAGCAGGTGAGCGGTTGGGGTGATCAGGCAGGTAGGCAGAGTGGTTAGGGGCAATCAGGAAGGCACGCAAGCGGTTAGGGGCGATCAGGCAGGCCAGTGAGCAGTTAGGGGTGATCAGGCAGGCAGGTGAGCAGTTGGAGGCGATCAGGCAGGCAGGCAGAGTGGTGAGGGGTGATCAGGCAGGCAGGCAGTGGTGAGGGGTGATCAGGCAGGCAGGCAGGTGAGCGGTTAGGAGCCAGCGGTCCCGGGATGTGAGAGAGTGCAGGCCAGGCTGAGGGACACCCCCCCATGCATGAATTTCGTGCACCGGGCCTCTGGTTTAAAATAATTTGGAATGGCCGCCAGGATCACTACTTTGAGACGCATTCTGGGGTCAGGCCAGGCTGCAGAGGAGAAATACTGTTGGCAATAAGAAATCCACACTAGCCCTAGCCGGCCTGGCTCAGTGGATAGAGCATTAGCCTGCAGACTGAAGGGTCCCAGGTTCGATTCTGGCCGGGGGCATATGCCTGGGTTGTGGGCTCGATCCCTAGTAGGGGCATGCAGGAGGCAGCCAATTGGTGATTCTCTCTCATCATTGATGTCTCTATCTCTCTCACCTTCTCCCTTCCTCTCTGAAATCAATAAAGAATTATATTTTTTTAAAAAAAGAAAGAAATCCGCACTAGACAGGGGGAGTGCAGGTATAGGTGCATGCACACTGCATTCTGGCACCTAAGAAACTCTCTAATATTTAACTAAGAATGCTATTATGGTTATGCTTTTGCTATTGGATTTCATTAAAAATCAGAAGTATGCCATATTCAAATAACTGTCTTAACGATATAAAATTAGTTTTTAAAACTTATTCATATACGTATAGCATTTTAAACATTTAAGTAGTTTTGCCTTTTGCCAGTTAGCAGCCAAGTCAGAATCAAATTTCAGGTTTTCCTTAGATTCTTGATAGACTAGAAGCAAAACAGACTTAAAACACTGGCAAAAGTCTGACTTTTAATACATTCCCAAGAGCCCTTCCCTTCTCTCCGCAGAAATGGCTCAGAAAATGCCCAGAGGTCTGTGAAGAGCAGCAGGAATAGGCTGCACAATGCTAACAAAACTGCTAACGAAAGAGCAGGTGTCTGGGATTCCATTCGTCCTCCAGAGGCCTGACCCAGGGAAGTTTCCTGGTCTCTTTCTAAGTTACCTGGAGAGTCACAGGAAAGTCCACCTGGATCGGCTCACCTGATCGCCAGGCAAGCTAATCTGGACTTACTTTTTTTTTCTTTTAAGTACAATTTTTTTAAATAGTTTTTTTATTAATTTCAGAGAGGAAGGAAGAGGGAGAAAGAGATAGAAACATCAACGATGAGAGAATCATTGATTAGCTGCCTCCTGAACGCTCCCCACTGGGGATCGAGCCCACAACCTGGGCATGTGCCCTTGACCAGAATCGAACCTGGGACCCTTTAGTCCACAGGTCGACGCTCAATCCACTGAGCCAAACCGGCTAGGGCTTAAGTACAATATATTTTTTAAAAAATCATAATATGCTTCAGTCAACTAAAATGTTTAGAGAATTAACAACCTGTTTACACACCACCCAGATTAATAACAGAATTTTTCAAGTATAACTAAAGCTCCTGATTTTTTCCTCCCTCCTTCATTCTAAACAGAAGCCACTGTAGTGAATTCTCTTATATTCTTAAAACTTTTAAAGAAACATGTAACCCAAGGACAGGTGAGGATAACATATGTTATTGGAAAGTGAAGTAGAGAAAAACAACATGAGATTACTTTTTCGATGCTGGATTCAGTCCTGCAGGAGTGGACGGCTGTTCAGGATCTTGGTTCACAAGGCAAGTTGGGAAGGAGCAGCCATCGCCGAGACTATAATGGAAACAAACACTTACAACGGAGCCACGAAAACGCCAACGGAGTGAGACTCCGTTACAGCGCTCCCGTCTGCGAGCAGAACACAGTTCCGTGAGGGGCCAAACGTGTGCCAGACACTGATTTCAATACAGTCTGTATAGGGAGGTGAGGAGTTAATTTATTTCCACATTGGTACAACAGTGAATCATAAAATAGTACGTTAAAAAACAGGAGGTCCTGTGCAGAATCATAGCGTCCCTTTGCTGGATTACTTTCATTGGTTTAATACCGGAAACATTTCACAAAGAAATACCTTGAAAACACGGGTAGCAACCAGTACTTCTTCTCATCACCAAAAACTTGTCGCATATTTTTACTGAAACCCAAGCTGAATCCATTCTTATCTGTTCCATGTCGAAATACAGGACTTCTAAAAGCCTCTAAAAAAGACAGCAGAGCAATCACATGAGTAATGAACATTAACTAGTAACCCGTACCTTTAGAAGTGACTGAGTTAAATGAGGGCACTCGAAAATCAATGGCTAACCCCCTGAGGACTTATGTGCCTACCAGCAGCTCAGCAATGAAGATTGCCTGTACTGCTTTAAAAAATCTAATGATTACATTTACTTTAATTTCTAAGTAACCTTTTAACTATTATAGCAGCAGATGGGCATTGCAGAAAACTAGAAAATACAAAAAGCAAGTAATTTACATCTTCTAATTCTTTTTTAGATACATGGGTGGATGGATATAGATAGATACAAATCTACACAGGTTTTAACTAAAATGAGACTATACATACATTCTATAGCCTGCATTTTACAGTATGTTCCATTTTACAATCTCATTGAATCGTACCTTTTTTCCCAGCTAACCCAAAATATACTTTAAAGCTGGTTTGTCCAAACCAAGATCCAATGCAGAATCATACCATGTGTGTGACTATGCCCACACTGCATATGGAAGCTGACATGCAGAGAGGCTGTGGGATTTGCCCAAGATCACACAGGAAATGAATGATCACACAGAAAATAAATATCAGCATGCAACCTGAACAAGGCCATCAATGTTCTTCCCATGCTTCATTTTTTTCTGAGATGTAAAAATATACAATTTTAATTTTTTGACTATGAATAAACGCATGAGTATAATGAGTTCTGTCCATCATGTAAAAAAGAAAACACTAATTAGCAGAGTGAAGGTACTAAAAATATGTGGCAATTTCCAAGTTCCTTAGCATTTATCCCCCAAGTCAGTGATGGCGAACCTCTGACACGCGTGTCAGAGGTGACACGCGAACTCATTTTTTGGGTTGATTTTTCTTTGTTAAATGGCATTTAAATATATAAAATAAATATCAAAAATATAAGTCTTTGTTTTACTATGGTTGCAAATATCAAAAAATTTCTATATGTGACACGGCACCAGAGTTTAGGGTTTTTCAAAATGCTGACACGCCGAGCTCAAAAGGTTCGCCATCACTGCCCTAAGTTATGTAGCTTTATGTATAACACAGGTTTATAACTGGAGGACCACATTGTAGGAAGTTTTTTCGGTGTTACAAGTTCAATCTACAAGCTTGAGGAGTTAAAAGCTTCTAGAAGCAATTCATTTACTTTTGATAAATTAAAATTTAATTGTCCAACATCTATTTTGAAAGTAAGATACTTTGTTTAGAAATTACTTTATTATACCAATTTTCACCCTAATAGTATCTGCTATAAGAAGATTTCACCTGAATATTAAAAATCGTCATTCATTTGCCACAATTAATCTTCACTGACAATTATAATCATGGAATCTCACTGTTTGAAGTGTCCTTTGAGATCATAAGTCCTGGCTGTATTCCCAAACTCCCAACCTTAGTCTAGAAAACTCCAGTTAGCTTAGTCCCTGCTTACTCATCAAACCTCACAGTATATATTTTTTTGTTTTTTAGCTTTCTATGTATCAACCATGTGGGTAGTGTCTCAAACATTGCTAGGTCTCTTCCTACAGATTTCTGTAAAAATTGAGGTGAAATTTAAAGAACATCGTGCACTGCTGGTGGGAATGCAGACTGGTGCAGCCACTGTGGAGAACAGTATGGCGTTTCCTCAAAAAACTAAAAATGGAACTCCCATTTGACCCAGTGATCCCACTGCTAGGAATATATCCCAAGAAACTAGAAACACCAATCAGAAAGGATATATGCACCCCTATGTTCATAGCAGCACAACTGACCATAGCTAAGATTTGGAAACAATCTAAGTGCCCATCAGCAGATGAGTGGATTAAAAAACTGTGGTACATCTACACAATGGAATACTATGCTGCTGTAAAAAAGAAGGAATTCTTACCATTTGCAACAGCATGGATGGAACTGGAGAGCATTATGCTAAGCAAAATAAGCCAGTCAGAGAAAGATAAATATCACATGATCTCACTCATTTGTGGCATATAACGAACAACATAAACTGATGAACAAAAACAGATCCAGAGACAGAGAAGCATCAATCAGACCATCAAACCTCAGAGGGAAGGTAGGGGAGGGTGGGGGTAAGGGGGAGAGATCAACCAAAAGACTTGTATGCATGCATATAAGCCTAACCAATGGACACAGACACCAGGGGGGTGAGGGCATGAGTGGGGGGATGAAGGGGTAATGGGGGGATAAGGACACATATGTAATACCTTAATCAATAAAGAAAAAAAATTTTAATCACTTTAAAGCGCATAATTCAGTGACATTTAGTACATTCATGATTTTCTTCCACCTATATCAAGTTCCAACATATTTTCTTCACCCCAAGAGGAAACCATTAGGCAGTCACATGTGGTAGCATGTTTCAGTACTTCATTCCTTTCTATGGCTGAATACTATTCCACTGGAATATATGTAACCATATTTTTCCTATCCATTCATCCTTTGATGGGAATGTGGGTTGTTTCCACCTTTTGGCTAATGCAAATAGTACTGCTATGAACATTGATGTACAAATTATTGCTGTTTTCCATTATTTTGGGTATAGACCTAAGACTGGAATTGCTGGGTCATATGGTAATTCTATATTTACCATTTTGAGGAATTGCCAAACTGTTCTCACAGTGACCGCACACTTTTATATTCCCACCAGCAATACGTGAAGGTTCCAAATTCGCCACATCCTCACCAAAGCTTGTGGGTTATTTTTAATATCCATCCAAGTGGGTATGAAGGGGTACTCTCTGTGGTTTTGATTTTTATTTCCCTAATAACTAATGACACGGAGCATGTTTTTAGATGTTTGTTGGCCATTTGTATATTTTCTTTAGAGAAATGTCTTTTTAAATGTCTATTGAAATCCTTTGCAAATTTTTAAACTGGGCTTGTTTCTCTTGTTGTTGAGTTGTAATATTTACATATTCTGGATACTCGGCCCTTGGACATATGATTTACAAATATTACTCTGAAAGATACTATTCATTCCCCATTGGATGGTCTTGGTACCCCTGTTAAAAATCAATTGGCCATGCCGAAACCGGTTTGGCTCAGTGGATAGAGCGTCGGCCTGCGGACTGAGGGGTCCCAGGTTCGATTCCGGTCAAGGGCATGTACCTGGGTTGTGGGCACATCCCCAGTAGGAGATGTGCAGGAGGCAGCTGATCGATGTTTCTCTCTCATCGATGTTTCTAACTCTCTATCCCTCTCCCTTCCTCTCTGTAAAAAATCAATAAAATATATTTAAAAAAAAAATCAATTGGCCAAAGATGTCTAAGTTTAGCTCTGGACTCTCAGTTCAATTTCATTAGTCAACATCTCTATCCTTATAACAGCACCACAATGTAAGAGCTTTGTTTTATTTTTTGGTGGATGTTGTTTTCGCTATGTGGGGCCCTTAATGTTTTCTATATATAAGATCATGTCATCTGTGAAAAAGAATAGTTTTAACTTCCTTTCCAATTTGGACATTTTTCTCGGTTAATTTCTCTAACTAGAATTCCCAGTGGTGTTAAAAGCAGCAGAAAGAGGGCATCCTTGTTTTGTTCCTGATCTTAAAGGTTTTTCTTTCTCACCACTGAGTGTAGTATCAGTTGTGGGGCTCTCATAAAGCCCTTTATCAGATCAAAGAAGTTCCCTCCTATTCTTAGTGTGTTAAGTGCTTTTATCATGAAAGGTATTATATTTTGTCAAACACGTTTTTTGTATCAGTTGAGATAATCATTTGGTTTTTCCCCTTCTATCCTGGGATAAATCTTACTTGATCACGGCATATGGTCCTTTTAATATGCTGCTGGATTTGGTTTGCTTGTATTTTATTGAGGATTTCTGCATTTGTGTTCCTAAGGGATATTGTAGTTTTCATGTGATGTCTTTCTCTGACTTTGCAATTAGCGCAATGCTAACCTTAAAGTGTAAGTAGAAAGTGTTTCCTTCTAATTTTTTTTGGCAGAGTTTGAGAAGAATTGGTGTTAATTCTACTTGAATGTCTGCTAGAATTTACCAGTGAGGCCCTCAAGTCCTGGGCTTTTCTTTGTTGGGAGGTACTTGATTACTGATTCAACTTTCTAACTTGCTCTTGGTCTATTCAGATTTTTTATTTCTTCTTGAGTCAGACTGGTAGTTTATGCGTTTCTAGAAATTGTACATTTCATCTAGGTTACCTAATTTTTTGATGTGCAAATGTTCATGGTTTCTCTTATAACCTTTTTGATTTCTATAAAGTTGGTAGTCCCCACTTTCATTTCTGATTTTCAAAATTTGAGTCTTCTCTCTTTTTTTTATTTCTAGCGATAGGCCTATCAAATTTATTATTTTCAAAGAACCAACTATTGATTTCATTGATCTTCTATCTTTAAATTCTCTATTTTCATTATTTCCTCTCTAATCTTTACCATTTCCTAACTTTGGCTGGCTTTGGGTTAACTGCTCTTATTTTTATAGTTCTTAAAGTGTGAAGTTATTGATTTGAGATATTTCTTCTTTCTTAATGTAAGCATTTATAGTTATGTATTTATTTTCCTCTAAGCACTGTTTTCACAGCATCCCCCTCTGTCAGGCTTTTGAACATACTGTTTGCTCTGCCTGAGATGTTCTAGCTCTTTCCATGACTGACTTCTTAGGTTAAATATGTATTATTTTGGTGAGCTCTTCCCTGATCACTCATCTAAACAGGCACCCTTCTACCCACCCTCAGCCCTTGATATAGATCTCGGGATCCTATTCGTTTCCTTTAAAGCACTTTGCCTGTTGTAATTACTTTTATGTTTAGTTATTGATTTTTCTATGCCCTTCACCAGGCTGTTCGGCCCTTACTCACCACTGCATATACACAATGCTTTTACATGTGATAAACAGCAAAACAATTATATGAGTGAATCTGTTTGTGTCTAAGTCACATCCCACAAAACAATGTGGGGAATAGGAATAATTTTTACCACTTCAGGACAGGTAGGCATTTACTCATATGGCAACTTTTGATGAGTATCTATTTATGTATTTAAGTTCTTTTAACTACAAAATTGCATACTCACCTAATGTAGACTTATTTTTGCTGACTAGCCAACAATGATAGCCAAACAGAGAAGACAAGCTGACAGAAAACATAGCTGCAGCAAAGAATAAAAACATAATATGGAACTTGGCTTGAGTATCTGGTAGACCATTCTATAAAGAAAGGAAGAAAATGAAATGTTTTGTCAAAGGAATAAGCATTCCCCTACTTTTATAAGTAAGATTATTTTTTTGCTTAAAATATTTCTTAAATTTAGATATGGAGAAAGATACATGGCTTTATGTTAAAGCTTTGAGAAAAAACATATAGCATCAGATTAAAATAAGTGTTTATTGGAATATGAATATATATGGAAAATATATTCAAACTTGGGGTATTTATTTTGTTTGGCATAACTGAATCATAGAAAAACTGTGGTAATATGAGTGTAAATTATAACAGAAGAAAGCAAGGTATAAGGAACTATAAAATTTACTTTTGAATTTACTACTTGAATACGTTTTGTAACATACTACATATTTATAAACGACTAAATAAATTTATTAAAGTGCCAAAAATGAAGGCTGACTGGCACAATTTAGCTACTATACTCACCAATGTTTTACTTTACTACAAACAACAGCATCTACTACAAGAACACACACAACAACACATCCACAGTAATGCTTCAGGCTATTGTAAATAAGAGCATCACAGAAAAGATAAACAGGAGAGCATAACGCCGGTGTAAAATAAACCTTACATCACTCATGTGACAAAAGAGGCCATCTCAAAGCAAAACCAGCGTGACTCTCTTTGTGCTATTGCCCAAGGACACCGGCTTGATCTGGAATGGTAAGTTCGGGGCTAGGACACTCAGTGACGCACCAGAGCTGCCAGGAGGTGTCTCCTTCTGATAGAAGGAAATACTGTATCCATACCCACCCTGTGGATCTGTCAGATTGACAGGTCACAAGAGCTCACCGGGAGCTTTTGACAGCAGTCCTCACAGTGAAAACCCTGGCTACTCCTTTACAAATGTATTTGTGGTTGGGACTAAAACCATTCACAGGAACGAGGAGCGTGGGGTGACATTCTCTCAGACATTCATTAGGGATCATTCCTCTAGCTGCACAGTGAAGGTCTACTTGAATGCTGAGAGCCTGTCCACACACCTGTGCATTCCTAGTGCTTAGCAATAGAAGTGGCACATAGTAGGTGCTCAATAAATCTCTGGTATTGAATGTGATTAAAATCCCATCCCACATAAATGATCTAGCAATTAGGAAAGTCTTACCGAATAAAGAATAATTTCATGAAAATAATAAAGCAACTGGCAGGGAATGACTTTTTTTGTTGTTGTTTGGTATTCACAAGGAGTATCTTTGAATATTTAAAATACTCAATTTTAATTTTGTTTTGCTTGCATTTAAGGTAAATAGTGCAGAAAACAAATGAATTAACTAAAGCCTAATCAAGCAATACCTAGTAAAAATTCGGGCATTTTAGATATAATAGTTTTAAAAAATAATCTTTTTATACATAAAGAAAACACTTCTATTTTTAAATACTAAAAATAAAAAATCTTCTTAGTCAATTCTTGTTATTTCAGTGGTTGTGTTCTATAAAGCGGCCATGAGCACTGGCTTCCTCCCAGGGAAAACACAGGGAAGGTTCCTGCGAGCCTCCGGTCACACTTTTGTCAGAACTATTTATTCATAACCTGGTTTTCTGTGCGTCTGTGCCTGAAGACACAGTATCGACAGCTTATTCAACATTTATTGTTGATTCACTGACACAGAACTCACACCCAACATCACTATGACTCACGCCTGAAGGACGCTTACCCAACACACAGATTTTCTCCATAAAGCACCTCACACGAGTGCTCAGAAACACCGACAGTACTTCAGCACTATTCTTGAAGAGCATTTTAAACAGAAATGACCAACACAAAGCACAACAATGCAAAAAAAAAAAAACCCCAAAACAAAAAAGTAGAGTGAAAAGCACAGCGTGTAACAATATGGGAGCTGAGACAAGCAGGCAGCGTCTCCTTGTTTTATCTCCTTGCTTGACATGCACACGGGGACACGCACATTCTTGGCCACCCTGTGCATGTCTGCAAATGGCCACAAAAGCTCTGTGAGTTCTGATTTTGGGTAACAGAGAAACGTTAGCAAGATGTGAATTCACAAATACAGAATCTGCAAATAATGAGGACTATAAATGAGCTCAAGTCTATAAAATCAGTGTCTGAAATAATTCACTAACGAAAAAATGTACTATATACTTTTATATACCAAAAAAAATCAACAAGGTAATGACTTACTGTCCAAAATTTGATAAAATACTGTAAATCCGTAGCAGCAATAAAAAGGCAGTATAGCAGGGAATAAGCCAAGAAAAGGAGGAAAAATTTATAATTTGAAAATCCAACACAATTGTTCACCCTGTTGATAAAACAGAAAACATTTTCGATGAGTTTTACATTTTTTAGCACAGGTATACATATGCCCAACCTTAACACAGCATTTAGTTTTTATCATTTAAGGTGCATTGGCAAATCTTAAGTGTCCTTCGTAAGATTTCTTTACACATACACACATTAAAAATATCCGTTTCACTGAAAAGGAATTGTGTTTCGATTTTTCAAATTTGACACGTAATATCGCTTTAATCAATCAAGAACCATATAACTATACAGTTAACCCTTGAACCAACGGGTTGGAACTGCACGGGTCCACTTAGGCACAGGCTGCTTTTCAATAAATATGCAGTCGGCACTCTGTATCCCGTTTATTTGAAACAAGAAGGGAGAAAATTCAAAAAAGCATGTGCTCTTAACTAGCCTCTCCCTGGTTGAGAGTGGCCTCATGAGGCATGAATGCCCTGGTACTTCGGGACGCCAGGCTAGTGAGGTGAGCAAATGCCCAGGAGGAAGAGGGCCCTCAGGCAGAGCAGCAAAGACTGAGGTGTCTTGGGGGGGGGGGCTGTCAGCGGGCGTGGGGACTGCCCTGCCGGTGCAGTGGATTCAGGTGGGTCGTGGGGAGACGGTGGGCACTGACAGCATGTGCCATGGGAGGGTCAGCAGAGGAATACGCGGAGGATCAGGCTGCTTATAACTGAAGGTACGGGGGGCGGGGGGGGGCCTACTTGCCGAGAATGAGAGCAGAATGAATGCAATGGGGGAAAGAGTGAGGAAAGCTAAAGAATGAACATAATGAAAACTAATACACAACGGAGGTTATTTAGTGAAGTCTTTTTGGGGAAGAACATCATTCTTATAGGAGTTAAGGAGCTTTATAACCTGTTAAAGGAGAAAGTCTGCATAGACAGTAGCAAAAGGCAGCCCGGGGAGGGCTACAGAAGACAGGAAACCGGCCGTCCCCCTGCTGTTCCTGCAACTGAGATCATCACTCTCTGTAGGTCTATGCTTCAACCTACCACTGGCACAGCCTCCTCAAGCGCCCCCCTGAAGAAGATGAGGCTCATGGAATATCATGCTCAGTGCAAGCCCAACCTGGCTGGCAACCTCAGCCTGACTGGCAAAGGAGCGTGCACACGGGGTGGTAACTTACAGGGAAAGGTAGAAAACACCTTCCGTAGATAATGATGCCTTTCGAATACTCTATTAAGACACCCACTTTCCTGACTTAGAAATATTTTAAATATTTTTTAAAATATTAACGAATTCTAAGTGGAAACCCTTATTTCAACAGTATGTGTGTATTTTTTTTTAAATGATTTTTTACAGAGAGGAAGGGAGAGAGATAGAGAGTTAGAAACATCGATGAGAGAGAAACATCGATCAGCTGCCTCCTGCACATCTCCCACTGGGGATGTGCCCACAACCCAGTTACATGCCCTTGACCGGAATCGAACCTGGGACCTTTCAGTCCGCAGGCCGACGCTCTATCCACTGAGCCAAACCGGTTTCGGCAGTATGTGTGTATTTTTGCATGCTTGTTATTCTACTCTGTAATGCCAAGTTTTATGTAAAATAAACTGTTAAAGCTTTAGATTAATTATTAGAAATTTCCAGTGAGGTATTGTGTTTATATGTACATTTTGGTGTAATTTCTGGGGAGTATTTTAGAATTTCTATGTTTATGCATGTGCATACAAAGAAAACCATTTGTTCTCAGGAAATATGAGAAGCTAACTTTTAAATTGGTAAGCTACTGGTTTTAAAATTATTCATGGAAATTCTCCTGAATAAAGACTCTTGAACTAATTAAGCAAATATCAGAAATAACATCTGAAAGTACCTCCTAGATCAGCTAAGGCAAAATTTCATTTATAAAAAGATTTAAATAGATAAATGATTTTATTTATTAAGTTAGAAGGGACAGAAAACGGTTTAAGCATAGAGCCAGACTTACCATGGGCAATGATGGTCCATCTTCAAAATACATCTAAAAAAAAACCATACACACAAAACTCAACACCCCATGAAAACTTAGTCCCATTGAATTATTAAAAAATATATATGTTATTTCAAAAGAGTTGTAGCAAGTAAAATATTGCAAAATTATTTACTTATCTAAAAATTGAATAATAGGAGGGGGTAGGGGCTGGGCGGAGGTGGGTAAGGAGCAGGGAAGAGGAGGACATCTGTAATAAATGTCAATAATAAATAAAATAAAAATAGAATAATAGCAAAAGTCCTCATCTAAAATAGAGACAATAGCTAATTCCAGTTATGATGCAATAATAGAACTTTCAACTGAAAATATTACATGCTTTAACGTCTAAAAACAATGCAATGTGTTCATATACAATTATCTGACGCTGAAGAAGGTGCAACATGTCAACAGATATAAAGGAAGTCTGGGTGAAGCTTGTCCTTTCATTTCCATCCTTAGGCCAAGCTATTCTACTGCTCTTGTGGTTGCACTAAGTATGTAATAACACCTGACTGTCACAGTCAACTGGGAGAGGGTCACAGAAGAAATACCACATCGAACCAGCCAAGTCTGAGCTGCTAAAAATCATGCAGGACATTCATGTCAGTGTGAATCGGGGGAAGGGGACAACTGATTTTGGCCCTAAACCACACTCGTTACTAATGCAAGTGATCATGCCAATTCCATTTCCCCAAGAAAGGTGTGAGAACATGAGCAAAGAGAGAAGGAAATAGTCTGGCAAACAGTGAGAAAAGAAACACACTCCATAAGAGAATAAAGGTTTTCTTACTTATCACAGACGGAGCAGTGGTGGCAGCGGTCTGGTTTTATCAGCTGGCATCGGTCACAGTATCGGATTGCTGGGAACAAAGAGCTCCACTTAGCCTTCCACTGAACAGTGCACTGAACATGCGATTACATGGCGCTCGTCATCTATTCCAGTTTAAATTCTAAACAACATTCCAAATTTACGTTCGGTAAAATTGAGATAGTCGGCTCTGTTTAAATACAAAAACGGAAAAGACTGGCCCACAGTCTCAGTTCTCTGGAGAGGTCTCCCAAGGACGGGGATCTTTAGGGGAAATGTTTCTAGGGCAGCGGTCACCAACCGGTGGTCCGTGAGGTCCTAAAGGTTGGTGACCACTGTTCTAGGGCATCCTCAAGTGTCAGTGGTTATCTATCTATCTATCTATCTATCTATCTATCTATCTATCAATCTATCTACCTACCTACCTACCTACCTACCTTTCTACCTACCGTAAGGCTCAAAAGGGTGGAAATATGTCCATTTCCATCTGAGTAAACAGAATGTCCCTCTCCATGAAACCAATGATTTTCTGTACCCACCAAGATAACCAAGAGAGGATACAACCACATTTTAGAAATGTTATGCAAACCTAATTTTAGAAATTTGTGAATAAACTCTCTCGATCGCTTACACTGAGAAAGGTCTCACACCTTCTGTGTTGAGCGAGGTACAAGCTTAGAAGTGAGAATCAGAAGAAGTACTCCCAGTAAGAATTTCAATCCTTGTAACGGGAGACCTGATCCTCCCTTCTCCAATACAGGCAGCAAAGGCAGTTATGAATGACTGAGTTGGAGAGGCTATTTCAGTCTGCAGGCGTCTCACAGGATGCAGGCAGCTACCAAAGTTACAGGAAAGCAGCTATTACGTGGGCGGTCCAGTAGGATCAGTACAACCACACTTACAAATGTAAAATTTGGAAAAAATACTCGCCATAAGTAATTACCAAGGTTATGTCAAGCTAATGCTATAATCTCTGAAAAAGAAAACAGTTGCTATGAACTAAGAATAGGATGTGCTTTTCTTAGACCACAAGGCCTAAATCAGTGGTTCTCAACCTATGGGTCGCTACCCCTTTGCGGGGGTCGAACGACCCTTTCACAGGGGTCGCCTAAGACCATCGGAAAACACATATATAATTACATATTGTTTTTGTGATTAATCACTATGCTTTAATTATGTTCAATTTGTAACAATGAAAATACATCCTGCATACCAGATATTTACATGACGATTCATAACAGTAGCAAAATTACAGTTATGAAGTAGCAACGAAAATAGTTTTATGGTTGGGGGTCACCACAGCATGAGGAACTGTATTAAAGGGTCGCGGCATTAGGAAGGTTGAGAACCACTGGCCTAAATGGAGTTGTTTTCAGTGTTGAAGTGAGTCCCTCGTTACCCCTCACAACTTCCTGTTTCAGGAATTGCAGGGATCAATGGCGTGGCCGTGCTGCTCAGCCCGGGAGTGAAGGCGCCCACGGGTGCCCTCCCTGTGACCCTCCAAGGTCTCCCTGGCTCCTGCCCAGTATGAAGGTGAAAGGCGGTGCTGTCCAGAGAAATATAACGGGAGCTACGTGTGCGCTTTTAAACTCTCCCGGAGCCACCTTAAAAGAACTAAAGAGAAAGTCATATCTTCTGGGTTTTTCCTATCAGCTCTTTGGAACCTGTAATGTATTTTGCACCCACAGTTACATTGTCAGTGCTCAGTAGCCACAAGGGACTAGCAGACCGTTAATGGGCAGCACGGTCTAAAGTCACAAAATCTCCAGGTGACGTCTGGTGGACAACGCTAGATCCTCCCTGGCTGGTGATTATCTGTACTTCAAAGTACGCAAGGAAAAAACTTTCAAATCAAAGTGGGCAGTAACTCACTGGAAATCAAAACAACGTAAAAATAAGTTTTTTGTTTCGAGTCTTTTATAAAAAGAGAAATTTCGTTTTTTTTTAATGAAAAAAACCACTCTGTATACCACGCTATGTCCAACTAAAATCATGCCAGAGTAATTTAAAATGAAAGCTCTGATAATCGTTTAAAAAACTCCTTACAGGCAAGGGGGCATTTTATGTTAACTGTCTTCCTTGAATTATTAAGGAATGTATTCATGTATTACTTACATAATTTAAAACTTTGTGGTTAAATGTTGAAAAGACAACATTATAAACATCTATGTACAATGATAAATGAGTCACATCACCTCTAATTGTTACCTTTGTAGTCAAAAACTAGTACAATTTTCTTTTGTAGGAAAAGATCAAGGACCAGGAGAGAAACAAAAAAAGTAAATAGTCCTCATTAATCAAAATACATAATAATATAAAGAAGTCTGAAGAGCCCTGTGAGGATGCAGAAGACGGGTGGGTCAGAAGAACGCACAGGACAAACAGAAGTGAGGTGAGCAGACGTCCCAACACCCGGCCTCAACTACTAGTACACCCACAGCCACGTCTGCACGGGGCTGAACGTGCTGTGTGTACAGCAGTCAGCTTACCCCAGGCAGCTGGCGTTTCTCTCTTTCAGGTTTGGAGGAAGTCCTATGGCTTTAGAATGGATGGTAAAATCCTAAATGATATTACCACCCGTTTCCTTTAATGCTCTATCAAGTATAAGGTGTGCGAACATCGGCTGAGCCTTCACGTTGCTTTAGTCCACAGACCTCCCCAGAGTGAAGGAGGAAGTTATCCACACAAGACAAGGGTCACAGAGGGTGTGGCTGAGGGTGGGTAAGAAAGGCCCTCTCACACTCCTGCCTGGAGCTCCTGTTGCTGCTCACTTCTGAATCATGCCTACCTCTCCATTCTCCAAATTCTAGAAGGGGATCAATCACACCAGCATTGCTATCTGTCTATTATACTCTGTCCAACTTAATGGAGTCAATGCCTGTAGTCAGTTCATAGTGATTCTAGCAGGCATCCAGAATGTTTGCACTGAAAATATAAAGATTATATTAGAGAATCAGATTCTATTCCAGGCTGTCACACATATTAGGGACTATGAGTTCATCTCAGGAGACAGGCATACAGCACCTGAGAGGAACAAGAGACAATAGGCTCAATGTTCTATGAACTACACAGGGAGATGATTTACAAATCCAATGTGTAGTTGTTATTATCAGTGAAAATTAATATTTGTCCTGATACAACTTATGCTTCAGCCCTTTCTCTTCCTTCAGCGTGTCAAGGGCACAGTAGGCAAATACTGCACCAGAAATGAGGAGATAGGTTTCTGTACCTGGTACCATCACCGCCAGCAACTAGCTTTGGAAACTTGTGCAGTAGTTAATTTATAAATTAGGGGCTTAAACTCCCTCAGTGTTTGCTCAGGTTTACATGGGGTATATGCACACGTGAACTTATACAGGAACACATCTCTGTCTTTGAGACAGAGACATAATATTACATCACAGAGTTACCCCTGGCTCATTGAGAAACAAAGAAAACAAACAGGAAAAACTGTTTGTGATTAGAGTTAGATTCAGTTATGGTTTTAAAGTGAGCTAGAAGCAAATATAAACAAACAGTAATGAGATATGTTACATTCTCTTGTTAGTACTAAGTCTGTGAAATCAGTTGTGTGTTTGACACTTACAGCCCATCTCAGCTTGGTCTGGCCACAGTTTATGTGCTCAATGGCCACGCAGGGCTGGTAGCTGCCAAAACACACAGCACAGGTCTAAAGTCACAGAGTTTCTGGGTAAATCTTGGGAGGCGAGTGTCAATAGTCCATGTGTGTTTGCATTTGTTTGTTTGTTTGTTTTTAGCAAAGCAATAATTTACTAACCACAGCAAAAAACACACTTAGGGCAGTGAAACAAGGAAGGGCAGAGAAGAAGCAACAGAAGAACCTGGACACCTTGGCTCACTGGGAAGTCAGAGAAAAGGGGGGAAACGGGGGCCTTGGAGACAGGTTCAGGGGTTAGCCTGGGACGAGCTGCTGCTGCCCATTGCTCCCCTGGTTGCAAGTCTCATGGGGACCCTTAGAGATTAAGTGATATGTGCTGGCTGGGGGAGGGGGAGGGAATGGCACGGGCGTGCTTCCTGGAGGAAGAGCACCCACGTGTGTTCATTTCTAAGACAATCCTTTAATTAGATAGCTGTTAAATTATCTTAAACATCTCACCCAAGTAAAAGAGATTTGTTATTTGAGTTGCATTTGTTAAAAAATTACCATAAATTTTAAAGATGAAAAACTGTACCAATATTTTACGTATGTTCTTATATATTGTGTATAATTTCTGTTTTAAAGGTATGTAAGATTGTATGTTATAGATCTTGCTCCCTTAAATTAAATTAAATTAAATGACAACAGGACAATCTTAAATTAAACCTTTAACAACGACTACTACTACAAATCAAGATTTCAGCACGTCATGGAGTCACACCACGTAGGCAGGATAGATGGACAGTCCATTGTGACCTGGTTGCGATCTCTGTGCCACAGTGGTACGCGTGTTCCCACTGCAGTTCATGGAACTGTGCAGTAAAGACTTCACAGCCATCCAAGACGTAGCACAGTGTTTCTCAATGAGTGTCTGACAGTTTCAAGGACATACATATGCCCTCCCACAGTCACCACAAGCTCCTGTGCGGAGCACTGATTAGCGCCCTCTACCTCCAGACATGGTCCTGGTGTAGATGGGAAGGTCCTTGGCTGCTCGCCGGAGAACTTCCTGATGGGCTTCTCCCCTCGGCTCTCTCTCCAGCAATTCTTTCTCTGCGTAAGAGAGGTGGAACTGTGGAGCAGATTTAAACGTTAATCAGTATTTTCAAAGGAATGATAACCTATATTGATCTACTAACCCAGATGAAGGCATTTATAAAACGTTAATGGCATACAGTCTATAAATTCAGAAAGGTAATAGAGTTTGAGATCTGGGCTAGTCTGTTAACCTTGCAGGTGATTAGTTTATGCATCTAGAAAGTAGAATAATAATCTCTATACATAAAAGGCTAATATGCAAAGTGTCCCCTTGGGAGTTTGACTGGGAGACCAGGAGTTCGATCACTCGCTATGACATGTGCTGACCACGAGGGGGCAGAACAAAGAAGGCCCCGATTCGCCCTGATCGCTGGCCAGGCCTAGGAACCCTACCTGTGCACGAATTTCGTGCAACAGGCCTCTCGTAATAATAATAATACCCACTTCCTCAGAGATTTGTGAAACTCAAGAGGAACAGAATATGTAAAAGTGCTTTATAAACTGTGGAGTTCTATCCAAATATTAGTTATATTAACAGATAAATAGCAAAAGAAACAAATTTGGTTCAACAGATGAATTTTTCAATTGGATATCATTAGGAACAAAAATAGAAACAAATCTATCATGCATGTTTTCTAATCTGAGTTTTAAATTAGGAATAATTATTACACAAATTCTAATACTCAAGACAGACTAATTGTTAATTTTACTTCTTGTACTGCCAATTTGGCCCAACCAATTAAAAAATAATTATCTGAGAAAAGTTAAGTATTTCTTTGGACTCCAATATGATAATTAAAAAAAAAAAAACCAAAACGGTTTTAAAAGTCTGTTTGAACATCCTTACTTTCTGGGACCATCAGATGCTCCTGGCTCACCCTGAATGTTTCCTGTTCTAGTTCTAGGACCAGCTATTTCTCCAGGGAGCCCTCCTTCCTTCCACTGAAGAATGGTATTAGAAACCAAGATCAGGGCTCAAATACAGTTTCACATCAAAGGAAAGTATAATTTTAAAAGGACATACCAATTAAGGAAAAAACTAGACTCTAAAAACAAATAAACAGCCCAGCCAGTGTGGCTCAGTGGTTGAGCCTCAACCTATGAACCAGGAGGTCACAGTTCGATTCCCAGTCAGGGCACACGCCCAGGTTGTGGGCTCGATCTCCAGTGTGGGGCGAGCAGGAGGCAGCCGATCAATTATTCTCTCTCATCACTGATGCTTCTGTCTCTCTCTCCCTCTCCCTTCCTCTCTAAAACCAATAAAAATATATATTTAAAAATAAATTAATTAAATAAAAACAAATAAACAAAACTCTCAGGTGTATTTTCTTTTTGCTAGTTGTTTTTCGCTTAGAACAAAAACAAACATATAATCTCACAAGTACCTAAAATGTGCAAATTACAACAGTGAAGTTGGCAACAGTTTTCTTAATAACAACATGCAACACCAAGGGTCTGATAAAACTGGAAGCACTTTACGTAAATGTCTACAATCCTTTTGGGAAACAATCTGGCAAGTGACTTAAATTTCCTCCATCTAGTGATTCTACCGGAGGATTTATATTAAGGAAATGATTCAAAAATGGTTAATGGTCTATGTGCGAACATGTTACCAACATTATTTACAATATGATCAGTTGGGGTCAACCTGAAAATCTAAGTTAGGATGTGACTGAGTACATTTTAATGTTTCAGTGAGAATATTAGGCTGTAGTTAAAAATGAAAATGAGCCAATGATGGACTATGGTGTGAAAAAAATTAACTAGAAAGAAATTAAGAATGTAAACTGAATTAGTGGAATGGGATTTTTTTTCCTTTTATTTTCTAAATTTAATTTAATATGGTTATATTACTTGTATATTGGGAAAACATATAACAATGTTCAGAGCCTGTTGCTAAATCTTTACAATGGTAATAAATAATATCTATCTCACACAGTTAAATGAAACAAATAAGGTAAATATGTGTTTTGTGGAAAAATCATCCGACAAAAATCATCCAACAGCTGTAACTGTCGTCAATCCCATTGATACTGTTATTTCTTCTGCATTTTGTATCATTCCATTTTCCCACTGTATTCATTCACTATTCAAACCTTCTCTGTTCTTACAAAACCTCAGTCAACCCAACTCTCTCATCATTCTTAGCTGATAACCTTACACATAATTTGAGGGAGAAATCAGAAGTCATTTCAACTTCCTGCCAAAGCTAGAAACAGAGACTTACATCTGCACACACACCTTCTCTACTTTCAATGACTTGATAAATATTTATTGAGTCCCTTTTATGGCTGAGACACTGCTCCCCTATGGCGATGGATTAGTGAACAAAACAGATAAAGTGCATGCCTCTTAGAGCTTGTATCCTAGGGGTGTTATAAAAATGTGGAATGTGTTACAGAATGTTATGCTATGGAGAAAAACAGAGTAAGGTCCAGGTTATAGGGAACACCGAGGGTAGTAGGGTTTTGCTATTTCATACAGAGTGGTCATGGAAAACCTCCCAGACGAGGTACCACTTGAACAGAGACACAGAGAGAGAAGAGAGGGCCACACAGGAGAAGAGTGCTCAGGTCAAGGAGAAGCAGCAGGTGTCGCGGCTCCAGAAGGAGGAACACGCTCAGCACGTAGACGGAACAGCAGGAGGCCCAGGAGGCTGAGTGGCATTCAAGAAGAGTGGGTCACTGTGAGCACACATGCATAACCCATGGACGCATTCAGGGGGGTGGTGAGGGCCTGTGGTGGAGGAAAGGTGGGCTGGAGGGGACTGATGGGGGGAAAGGGGACATGTAATACTTTCAACTATAAAGATTTAAAAATAAAAAATAATAATTAAAAAAAAAGAACAGAAGAGTGGGTCAGATATGCAGTGTGGGGCCCGGCCGTGGGCAGCCTCCTGGGCTACAGTAGGAAACTAGGTTTTCACTCTGAGTGGCTCAGTTGTCATAGGAAAGTCCTGAGAAGAAGAAGATGATAGGATCTGTCTTGAAAGAATGACTCTGGTTCTGCGTTGAAAATATACAGAAGCGGGCAAGTACGAAAGCAAGGAAACCTGTTGACCGGGTACCGCAACACACGAGTGGGAGAGGCAGTGGCCTGGGCCGGAGGGAGGAAGTGGGAGGACACAGCTCACGCCGAGAGCTCCGAGGGCCCGGCTTACAGCATGTGCTGAGCGACTGCGTGTGGGTCTGAACAACTGGGCGAATGGAGCTGCCACTGCTGAGACAGGGAAACGTCAGCAATAGGAGGGTTAGGGGAGTGCGGGGCGGGGGGGGGGGGAGGGTACCCGAAGTCTGTCTCACAATTAGATGCCAAATAGGCAGCTGTAAACGAGCCTGGGGTTAGAAGAGAGGACCAGACTGATAATAATATTAACCTGAAAGCGATAGCAATGCATGAGACGATATATAAAGCCATAATGTAGATAAATAAGAGAGAGACCCAGAGGCTGAGCTCTGAGATAATACAATGCTTTAGAGCAGCAGTTCTCAACCTGGGGGTCGAACGACCCTTTCACAGGGGTTGCCTAAGATCATCGGAAGACACATGTATAATTACATATTGTTTTTGTGATTTGTTGGGGACCAGGTGTAAGCTGACAAGGTCCTTGCACCTGAAGGGGCTAGCGAGGCTGGGATCCTTACCCACACAGTTTTCCCAGACTTGTTTGGATGGCGGTTATCAGTAGAATGAGAGCAACCTTTGTAGAATGAGAACAGCCTTTCATGGCTTACCAAGAAGTCTGTAACTATTTACTGAGATTTGCTGTACCGAGAATTTGTCCTTCTGCTGTGTCTCTCCCTTAGAGATTAAGAGGAACAAAGAACACATTCCTCTTGACAGACCTCCTATTCAGTGTCTTGTGTATAAATAGGATTGTGTGGCTAATAAACATGCTGCAGTTCCTCGAATGAGCTGCAGTCCTCCCGACCCCGCTTTCCTGTCTTTCTTTCTTTTCTCAATTCCCACCTCCCTGCCTCAGCCCGGCTCAACCTGTCAAGCTGGCCCTGACAGTGATTAATCACTATGCTTTAATTATGTTCAATTTGTAACAATGAAAATACATCCTGCATATCAGATATTTACATTACGATTCATAACAGTAGCAAAATTACAGTTATGAAGTAGCAACGAAAATAATTTTATGGTTGGGGGTCACCACAACATGAGGAACTGTATTAAAGGGTCGGGGCATTAGGAAGGTTGAGAACCACTGCTTTAGAGGCTCAGGAGATGATGAGGAACCACCGAAGTCGGCCAAGAAGGAGGTGCCAGTACAAATAAAAACAGAATGATCTGGATGAGAAAGGAGATAAGAATAAACCAGAAAGAAAATAATGGCCCGGTGTACGCAGGAAACTACGCGTAATGAAGAACTACTAGTGTATAAAGTGTGAAGTCAGAAATTTAGACAAGAGCCCCTGTTGTCCGACTCAGGCGACGGGCCTTCACCGTAAGGGGAGGCATGAGAAGATACAAGCAGGGGAGGGAAAGTACTCCATTTGCTTTTTGGATGGGTCGCTCCAGCTTCAGGACAGAGCATGAATGTTTGCAGGGTTCTGGGAAGGGAATGTCGGCAAAGCTGAAAACAGTGACATCATATAGAAGACTGCAGTGTCTCTGACAAAAGAGAGGATGGAGACCCTGAATTAAGTCAATGATTCAAAAAGAAAGAAGGGGTTGTAACTAAAAAAAATCTATGGGGAGGTGAAAACATCAGCAGACCTTGGATGCTGGCAGAGGGGCGAGGAAGCCAGAGGCCGGAGCACAGCTGCCAAGCTTCTGGCCTGAATGATGAGGTGGATGTCAGGGGCATTAAGCAGCCTAAGAAACGGATGAGTCACAGTTTGGGGAAGGAGAGGGTAGTGAATTCAGTTTTTGATGTGTTAGGTTTAAGGTGTCAGTGGAATGTTGTCAGGGAGGTTGTGTCTGAAGTTCACAGGAGAGGTCAGAAGTAAAAATACATTTGGAAATTTTCGACAGAGGTCATGGGTAAGGTTATAATCATCAGTACAGTGGATGAGATCACCTACAATGGACGTCACAATTTCCCTTCTAACCTACAATTAAGGCCAGGATGGGGGTAAGAGAGATAATAGAAAAGTAAAATCTAACACATTCTAGGCGGAGCATGCCATTACTTCTTTGCAAGTACTGTGTTTTGTTTTTAATATCCTTTCCTAGGACATATAGCATATTTACTGGGCTTTTTTTTTTTTTTTTTTTTTTTTTTTTTTTTTTTTACCATAGCTGCTTTTCAAACAGGTCACTTTAAGAAACAATCTGTAGTGATGCCCAGACTTTAACTTTTTAAAACCTTTTTTGTTAATCCTCACCCAAGGATATTTTTCCATTGATTTTTAGGGAGAATGGAAGAGAGAGGGAAAGACAAAGAGAAACATTGATGTGAGAGAAACACATCGATTGGTTGCCTCCTGCACGAGTCCCGACCAGGGCCTGGCCCAGGAGGAGCCTGCAACCAAGGTACGTGCCCTTGGCCGGAACTGAACCCAGGACCCTTTGGTCAATGGCCGACGCTCTATCCACTGACCCAAACTGGCCAGGGCCTTTTCCATTTTTTTTTTAAGTTAGCCTACTAAAACACTATTATTACTGGGAAAAAAGTTTATTTCTATTCAACGAACATGTACTGGACTAAGTGCCAAATATATAAAAATGAGTAAGACACAGCCCTTTATTCCAAGAATATCTAACTAACCAAGATTAAAGACCCAGAAACAAACAGCCAGATGATCTTTGCGAAATGCATATCAGATCATATCACTTTACTTAAAAGCTTCTGTGTATGAAAGTGACCCCTAATGTCCACTCTTCCCTTCTTCTAACATGGCTAACACGGCCATCAAGAATAAAGACTACACCCCAGCCTTCTGTGCAAACAGATTATGGCCATAGAACTAAGTTCTAAATGTAAATGGAAACGGCATCAGCAACTTCCAAAAAGAGTCCTTAAAGAGAAGGACATTTCCTTCTGCTTCTCTTTCCTACTTTTTCTGGCCTGTTGACTGGAATGCAGACATAACGGCTGGAACCAAGCAGCCATATCAGGCCAAGAGGTGACCTTGGGAATGGAGGCTACACATGTCAGAGCGACAACACAGAAGCAGCCTGGAGACCTAGCAGGTATGGCCCAGCTATAGACTTTGAATATAGAGATTAAATAATTACTTTGTTGTTTGGTGGCTCACAGCCAACTAACACACCATTAATAGGATAATTTTAATAGAACCATGTCTACTTTCCACTCTATCTATCTATCTATCTATCTATCTAATGTATTTTATCTATCCATCCATCCTGATATCTAACACTAAAAGTAGAACACACGACAGACTTAACATTGGAAATATAATACTCATCCAGTGCAAAACTAATATTTACCAAGTGAAAATTCAAGTATTTACTAATAGATACATTAATATTAAAAAACTATCACACTCAATAAGTTTGCAACATTAATAAAAAGACATAAAATTAACTCTTCAGGCATCAGAATTATTGATTTCCAACTTTAGGATGACTTTACTAATATTTTTACTTACTTCTTTTGAAGGATTCATTGGCAATGTAAAGATGGTTTTCCAATACGACCAGACAAACATTGCAAAAAGGAGATGATAAGCAATCAGGCACACAACTAAAGTGAGAGAAACATAATTATTACTGTAATATGTGAGTTGGTATTCAAAACAATCTGCTTATTCTAAAACACCAAAATTGCCAAATATAATAAGTTCATTTTATTTTAAATTTTTATTATTAATTTTTATTATTGTAAATAAGTCCATTTATAGCATACTGGAATAGGCACAACTCAATGAATGAATTTTTATACCTAAAGCCAAGGGTTTTTAAAAAATCCCTAATAATGCATAATTAGATGTGACCATGATTAGCGCCCTCCCATCTGGAGGTAGGCCCGTCTATTGTCAAAAATGGCTCCCAGCGCGTTTCCTAAACTGTGAAAGTGAGCAGTTATGCCTGCAACTCTAAATCAGAAGCACAGCATTAAACAACGGTCAGAACGTTCAGGCTCTAAGATCTCTGCTTCATGGACAAAGAATCGCAAAAGCCGCTCCTATGTGAGAAGCTGTTTAATCACTTGCTCAGCTCCAGTCAGATCTGGCGGCCCTCGCTGTGTTAATGACAACACATCTAAGCAGAGAACCATCTGGATAAAGAGCGGTGTCTTCCAGTGGAAGTTCAAGTGTCTTGTTTACCACACCGGACCACTGTTAGGAAAAGCATTCTGACACTCGTTTCAGGTAAAATATGTGAACACACTTTGTGTTGTGTTTTATTCTTGACGTGCTATGCAAATAGAAAATATTGGTTTTTGTATACAGTGATGACAATTAATTCTGAAATATACATACAGGGTGTCCCCCCAGAATGTATACACACTTTAACAGCTGAGAGCTCAATTTTGACAATGAAATGTATTTTCATAAACAATGCATTTATATTGATTCAAAGTGTGTGTATACATTTTGGGGACACCCTATAGATAACAATTCTGTAAGATACAGTTGAATAAAACATGCTAATTTAAAAGATAGCCTACTGGGTATTTTAAAACATCAGTAGCAATTTTAACTTTTTAAAAGAATGATGATACTCATAGAATCATTAAAAAGTTAAATCATCCATTAAGGCATACATCAGTGTGACATAACTAGAGCCAATGATATTTTCCATGGATTATGCAGGAGACGGGTACGGGGTAGAACAGGAAGTTGCTGGTGTTCCCGTATGTGGAGGCCGTGAGCAGCTGGCACAGTGACAGGCATCGCGGGCAGCGTCCCCTGCCGTGTGGGGCAGGATTCAGTCTGGGGACTACGGGAATGGATATCTTTGACCCCATCTTATCTCCACGTCCTTAAAGAATAGTTTATTTATCCCAACCAAAGCTAAGTGAATTCAATTTGCTTCTTTCGAATGATTTTTCAAATTTTACATCTGAAACAAGAGCATAGTTTACCTTGTTCTCCAATGTTTTCCATGGACACTGTAGACAAATTAAAAAGAAAGAGAGAGTTAGATGAAGCACCTGGCAAACATAGGGCCTGACAGAGACACAGGTTAGTATTTGGACTCCCCTGCAAACGCACATTCTTCAAATATTTGCCCAACTTTATTCAGAGGAGAGGTGAGCACTGCGGGCGAGAGGGTGGGGAAGGGAGACATGGTCGCCTCTCTCCGCATTTCAGCCCCGGCTCCCACACAGAACACAAAACCTGTCTGGCTTGCCCCGCTTAGGGTCTTGCTCCCGTAGTACTGATTGGTTTCTCGTCTCCCTCCCAACTACAGAGTTCAGACAGAAGCATTGTTCTCCAGGTCATTCCATTTCCAGAGGCAATTCATTGTTGTTGATAAACTGGCAACCACCTAGTTAGCGCTCCAAAATGAAAAAAAAAAAAAATGTTGTGTCCACGCCACACACTCCTTTTCCAATTTCTGAAAGTACAAATTCTTGTGCCCAATGACTCACTGCTCCCTACATATGAGAGGCCCAGGCAACGGCCAGAGAAACTGCCATCCCTTCGGAGCCGCTGGAAATATCCCCGCGCAGCTGGGAGATTAGCACGGGGATGCAGAGCGAGAGCCTGAATTGAGTAACCCAGTTTCCTCAGCGTCTGGATTGCCTACTTGCAGTTTCTCATCTGCTCTTCCTCCATTTGTGCTAAAGTCTTTGGACGTTCTCGTCTATCTCAGCTATAGCAGAAGAGGATGTGACTTGTCTGTGTATTTCCGCCCCTATTTGGCTTTTGAAAGGGGTGCAGTGTTCCAGGCCTTAGTCCTAGAATATATAATTTCATTGTCTTAGGAAGCACCAGAATCAGAGGGTAATGTTGTAAAAGATTTTTAAGATTACCTGACCCAACAATAAAGATAAAGTTAAAAAGAAAACGTATTTCATAAGCAAAGAAAAAAAAGGGGGGGATTTTCTGATCAAACCAACCTCCTTTCGGAGAGGGCTACCGACTGTTGTCTAGGCATTTCTGCAGCAGCCGGAGCCACGGTTTTGGAGAGCAGCTCATTCCAGGGTTGGATTGTTCTAAGAATGATTACGGGACTATTGCGAGCTGAAATTAGCCTCTTTGTGACTGTTAGGTTTAATGTAAGGTTTAATCTGAGATGTAAGATTTAATCTGACCAAAGCCAATAAATTGACCAAGACAAGCAGGGTAAGAGCGAAATATCGCGTTTATTGGAAGCTCTCGGGTGAGGTCCCACGGTCTGGGGGTGCAGGCCGGGGGAGTCACACCCGCCTATGCCTGGCAGAGATTTTTTATGCTGCTGTTGGACCAATCAGGCTTATCTGAGGTAGCTTGTGGCGGGTGATTGATGAGTGGGAAGTTGGTACAGCTGCACCCTGGCCATCTTGAGAAGTCTCCAGTGGTTATTTATTGGCCGTCAGCACAACAGGATGCTCTGGTGGGTCCCAGGATGGCAGCTATTGTCCAGCAGGATGTGGCTCTGCAGTTCTGGGTTGTTTTGTCCAACTCAGCTGGTGGGATCAGGAAAGACCCTATTTTCCCAGCCCCAGACCTTACAGTGACTTCTGCCTATGGCTTCGATGCTTCCCACCTGTATCCATAAGCAGAAAATCTAAATGACAGACCTTCCCATACTTAAAGCTGTGTCCGTTCCCCTTAAAAATGTTCTCGTTAAAGGTTCATAATTTTTTTATGAACAGCAAATACATATCTATCCACAAGTGAATCTAAAAATCAAGTGAACAAAAAAACTGATGAACAGAATAAACTGGTGAATATAATAGAATCAGGGGCATAGAAAGGGAGTGGACTGACAATTCTCTGGGGGAAAGGAGTGTGGGGGGTGCGGGAAGAGACTGGACAAAAATCGTACACCTATGGATGAGGACAGTGGGGGGGGGCGGTAAGGGCAGAGGGTGGGGTGGGAACCGGGTGGAGGGGAGCTATGGGGGGAAAGAGAGGAACATCTGTAATAATCTGAACAATAAAGATTTAATTTAAAAAACATGTTCTCGTTTAGCCCGAATAAGGCATGACTTGCAGACTCTCACCAATGCTAATGTGGCTCCTTCCTAGGCTCTCAATTTCCTGTAACATTTCTGATCCCCAGAATGGGACTGGCCCACACAGATGAACTCTGCCTTACAAATGGCTGGAGGGTGACGGAGTGCACTTCCTCAGAGAACCCCTACAGCGGCTGGGCTGAGGGTACTGGGAGGGGTCTGGGAGGGCCCTCAGCAAGCCCTCTGCTACCTCTGACCCTGCCCCTCCCTCCCTTTATGCATTTCTCTCTAGGCACTGACTTCCCGGGCTTCCAAAGTGCTCCAAAACTGACTGCAGCTCTTCCTCGGATCAAAATTTCAAAATCTCCAATCCATTAGTGGAGCTAATATAAGGAATTAGAAAAGCAACTTGACTCCATTTGCACAACTATGGATGAATGGCCTTAACGACCATTCCAGAGGTGGTGGTGTTTCAAAGAAAATGTATTTGCTAACCCATGACTCTAGCTGTCAAAACTGAAAGAAGTAAAACAAAATGAAATTTAAAACGAAAAAGTACAGTTAGTAGGAATGGATTATCTTTTTGACCGGGACCACTACTTTATTGGCTGATACGCATTCAAAGACATGGTTTTAAAGGCTATTTCTTCATTTCACAGCTTGTTTTTCTCTAAATGTACTTCAAAATCCACAGATCCTCTATTTTTTTTTCTGTTAAATAAGTTATATGCATGGACATGGAAGCCTGCTTATGGTAAATAATTCCGTAAAATGTGGAAGTTCAAAAAGGCTGTGTCAATTACACTCCACAAAGATTCTGCACCTGTCCAATTTCCTATAAACATTAAATAAATCTTAACTTTTGTCAGTATCTTAGGTAAAAATAAAAATCACTGCTTTAGTATTGATTTCCCTGATCACTGGTGAAGGTTAGCATTATTTAAAAAATGTAATGATTGGGGGTTTTTTCTATCTCTTCTGAGTGAATTACCACTTTCCCATTAGTCTCTTTTTATGTCTCTTTTACTTATTGAATTCTTTGATATATTCTGGACAGTAATGCCATGTCTGTTATATATGTTGCAAGTAACATTGTGTATAACTACTTTCAAAGGATTTAATACATACTAGCAAAATCTATGGCTTATCATTGATTAAATAACAGTATCAACATTTTCAAATTGACCTATTTCAGTAATAGATACAGGGTCTCTCCCATGGTGAGCCTGAGGACACGAATGCTCTCTCAAACATGTACACCTAAGTAGTAAGTCAATGATTCAACTTGTAATTTTCAGTATAGCACAACTGTCAATTTCAACATTTTCTTTCTCATTGGAAAAACACATCGAATATACAATGTCATCGTCAAATGCAAATATTTTTGTTCTTAAATGCCTATTTTAAGAAAAGGTTGCATTTACTCTTAGGGATAAAAGCATCACAGTATTACCTGAAATATTTACTATTTGTACATCTGATGGTCATCTAAAATACATTTAATAGTAACACTGGGGTCACTGTTTTAAATTTTCATTTCAAAAATTTATTTGTCTAATTTTATCTTGGATTGGCCTAATTTCTTTCTGGTCCATGGCCTACAATGATTGCATTGTTTTCAATTAAAATTGACTGGGGTGACATTGGTCAATATGAACATACAGGTTTCAGGTGTGGGTTTCTATGTTACAGGATCTGTATATTGCACCACGTGCTCACTACCCAAAGTCAAATCTCCTGTCACCAGATATTAGGACCCCATGATCCCATTTTAAGATTTAAAGATTTCTAACTTTCCAATATGCTTCCAGAACTTTAAACTCTTCCCTGATTAGCTACAGTGCAGCTAGGAAGCAAGGACTCTGACTTGTTAAGATCCTAAGGCAGTGGTCGGCAAACTGCGGCTCTCGAGCCACATGTGGCTCTTTGGTCCCTTGAATGTGGCTCTTCCACAAAATACCACGTGCGGCACAGTGCGACTGAAACTTCGTGGCCCATGCGCAGAAGTCGGTTTTCGGCCTGGGCGAGTCTATTTTGAAGAAGTGGTGTTAGAGGAAGTGGGGGGTGTGGGTCGGTCGGGCGACGGGAGACGCGGCGCAGGCGGGCCACGGGATATGCAGCGCGGGGGAGGCGCGCGCGATTCATGCATGAGTTGAGTGAGCCAGTCAGTCAGCAGTCTCATGTGCAGTGGTTAGTGGTAGTCGTGTCCGCAAATCGCGCGCGGGTGACAAAAGTACCTGCTCGAAGCATAAAGTTACCTGTATTTTTCCAACCAGCTGCAAATCCTACAGGTATTTTTGTCATCAATTTAAGAATTGTAATTCTTTTGTGTTGGTGGCTTTATTATTATAAAACTAGAGGCCCGGTGCACAAAAATTTGTGCACTCGGGGGTCCCTCAGCCCGGCCTGTGCCCTCTCGCAATCTGGGACCATTGGGGGATGTCCACCTGCTGGCTTAGGCCCGCTCCCCGGGGGATTGGGCCTAAGCTGCCAGTCAGACATCCCTCTGGCAGCCTGGGAGCCCTCGGGGGATGTCCACTTGCCAGCAGGGAGCATGCCTAAGCTGCAGTCGGACATCCTTAGTGCTGCTGAGGAGGCGGGAGAAGCTCCCACCACCACCGCTGTGCTGGCAGCTGGCAGCCTGGCTTGTGGCTGAGCAGAGCTCCCCCTGTGGGAGCGCACTGACCACCAGGGGGCAGCTCCTGCATTGAGCGTCTGGCCCCTGGTGGTCAGTGTGTGTCATAATGACCAGTCATTCCCAGTGGTTCTGCTGTTAGGGTCAATTTGCATATTACCCTTTTATTATATAGGATGAAACATTTTTTTAGGTGCCCTGTTTGAGATGGCTACAAAGAAGAAGCAAAGAAAAACGGAAGACGAAAACCGTGAATTTAAAGTTGAATTTAAAGTTGAATGTACCTACCTATATAGTTTAAGTTTAAAAAATTTGGCTCTCAAAAGAAATTTCAATCGTTGTACTGTTGATATTTGGCTCTGTTGACTAATGAGTTTGCCGACCACTGTCCTAAGGAATTGCAGCAATTTCTCGGCACTGATTGTGTATATACAGAGAGAAGTGGGAATGGAAAATTATTACCAGTTACCAAGGACGATGCTCCTGTTTGCCAAGAGCAAATGAAGGTCGTGAAAGATTACATCTGAGAATCTGGAGCCATCATGGACACAGCAAGGCTGGGAGTACCAGCTGCCGGTTGTTTACTGTGTCTCTTTCTGCCTAACCCCCTCCTCCCTCGTTAAGCATTTCTCTAAGAAACAGAGCAGGGCATTAGAGCAAAGGCTGAATTGGTTTAGAATGTTTAAGAGTGATACTCCACGTTGCGTATTGATCCCTAAGAAGTCCGTTTGTAAAAATATAACAGGTAAAACCAAAGCTGAAGAGTGAGGCTGTCAGCCCAAGGAATAACCGTTTAAGATACAAAAGACAAACTACTTCTTGATCCAACTTGGCTTGAACAAAAAAAATCCAAAACTTCAGATACTAAAATACGCCTTCATAGTAGATTTAAAAAAAGTACTTCCCCCCTTAAATTAGCCAAGAACAGTTACATAATTGTTGCTAGAACAATTTGGTAGTCTCCCTGCAAATGTATATTGCTGTGATCTTTTTATTTCTTTTCTTAATCACAATTTCCTTTAACTTGCCTTCAAATTGAAACTCCCTCTTTTGGA